GAATTTTGGATTCAACTCAAATCTCCTGAACCAGTCTCCAGATCCAAAAGTAGGGGGTTCTTTCCTTTTTTTTTATGTCATGAACTGCTTTGGTAATCTGTTGAAACCATGGGCCCCTTCTCAGAATAAATTTTTTTTAAATTCATAATAGAAATAAATTATTAAATTTTGGTTAGAAGTTAATAGAAATTAATGTGTAAATTTTTCCCAATCAATTTCACTGAGCCCTTGAAAATTATCCGCAAATGTTTTGGGTCTACTTTCATACTCATGAATTCTGAAATTCCCTTATGTGATCACAATCTGTCGTCATTGCACTTCTCCCTCTGCGTTGTAACCCCAAACTCTATTCTTCATTCTCACTATGACTTCCAATCCTTTAACTTTCAGTTCTTTCCTGTGCCATCACTCAGACACAGGCTACATTTTCCTCTCTTCCTCATAGTGACCCGTTGATGAACCAGTTCAACTCTACACTGTCTTCTCTCAAGTCCCTTACCCCTTTATCCTATCACTATTCTTGATTTGCCAAGCTTCAGTCTTAAATTACTTCAAAGATCCTCTGCCTTTTTTCCCAATCACATACTGCCTAAAAAAGCTGGTTAAAGTTAGTTAGGGGGCAGCTAGGTGGCACAGTGGATAGAGCACCAGCCCTGGAGTCAGGAAGACCTGGGTTCAAACCTGGCTTCAGACACTCCCTGTGTGACCCTGAGCAAGTCATTTAACCCCATTTGCCTCAGTTCTTCATCTGTAAAATGAGAAGGAAATGGCAAACCATTCCAGTATCTTTGCTGAGAAAACCCTAATGGGGTCATGAAGAATTGGACATGACTGAACAGCAAGCTGGAAAAAATCACAAAACCTTGCTGACTATTGTTGTTTTGGTCATATCTGACCCTTTGTGACACCAACTGGGGTTTTCTTGGCAAAGATACTGGAGTAGTTTGCCATTTTCTTCTCCAGCTTGAGTCCAACCACAAATTGTTACATCATCTCAACTGAGTAAGGCAATCCTTAATGCCTCCCTAATTGAATCACTATCTCAATCACCACAGTGACCTTTCCAAATCTTGTCATTCATCCTCAGATCTTCCATGGCTACTCTTTAACCCACCTTCTCAGCTTGTAATTCACTGAAAAATATTGAAATCTTTTGCCAAGAGCTCCCTCTTCTCTCCTCCTCATCTCACATCCCTACAATGCCTTTTCACATTCTCTCTTCTTTATCCCTGTTTCACATGAAGATGTGGTTCTTTCCAATGAAAGTCTAAGGTTGTCGCGGCCACTGCAGTGGAGAGCATGAGACCAGCTCAGTGCTCAGTAACCTGGAGACACAAGGATGAGGTGGGAGACAGCAAGATGGCAGAAGCTCCTGTTTATTGTAAGCTGGGTGTGACCTTTATAGCCCTCAAGGCACCTTGGGATCGCATGATCAGAGCCCTACAGCCAGTCCTAGCTATCCCACTCCGCATGAAAGCCTCAGGTCCGGGGTGTGTCCGGGGCACGCAGGGAGGCACTCAACCAGTCAGAGGATGGCCGAGCCAGTCATGATTGCTGCGTGTCCACAAAGGAGAGGTCAGTTAAGACTTCCTTGCTTTCACGCAACAGACTGTGACCCTCAACTCCCCACAGGGAGGAACCCTAACGTGGCAGAGCACCATTCCCAAACGAATCCCATGACATAAGGTGCCACATTGAAGTAGGACCAAAGAAAGAGAGAACTGTGAAGGAAGCAGAGGGGATGCAGAGGACTTTGCCGGTAGGGGTTCTGAAGAGTAAGGGTGGTAGTGTAGAAAGGCCAAAAGGATGCAGTGGGATGCAAGAGGATATCAGGTTATAGGTACCAAAGAGTTCCAGATTCAGAAGAATATAAGTTCCCTGAGGGCAGGGACCATCTCATTTTTTTTGTATCCCCAGGACCTAGCACAGCACCTAGCACATACTAAGGGCTTAATGAATGTTTATCTAATTGAATTGAGTCAAATTGAATTTGATGAGAAGGCCCCATCCACAATCTTCCTTCTCCACACCCCCACTCCCCAGCTGCTTTTGCCTCCCTTGAAAGAATTCTTAGTTACATCTTGTCTAACTGCCACTTGTGGATAGTTGGGGAAAAGGAGGCATAGAGAGAACTGTGAAAATGATGCTCCAACCTACCAACCTACCTCTGCGGTCTTATTTTACACCACTCCTCTCTATAAACACTACATGACCTTGTCCTGCATTCTGGTACCTCCGTGTGTCTGTACAAGCTATCATCCATGCCTAGAATGCATTCTGGCCTGTTGGAATCCTTCTTGTCCTTCGAAGTCCAGCTCAGCTACCTCCTCTTCCCTGATACTTTCCCCTGTCACACTAGGTATGATGCTGTGCCCTGCCAAAGTTGTCTTGCAACACTTTGTATGGATCTCTCCTTTGATCTTATCATGGTCTACTTTGCATTATTTTATTTGTGCATTCACAAGACCCCAGGAGTTGGAAGAGACTTTGGAAATCATCTAGCACAATGCATCCATTTTATGTAAGAGGAAACCGAGGCCCAGAGAGAACTACAATTAAAGCTCAATCTTCTGGCTCCAAATCTATTGTTCATCATATTATACTACATTGTCTCTGCTAGTCTATCCCCTAGAATTCATTTTACAGAGAAAACAATTAAAGTACGTATAGTCTCTGTTACTAACTGGGTATATGATCTTGGGCAAATAAAGGGCCTCAGTATTCTAACTTAGTAAAATGAGGTTGGACTACATGACCTTTAAATTTCCAGTTAGCACTAACATCGTAAGTTTCTATGAAGTTTAAAATCCCTTCTCCCCCACCCCCTTCCCCTGCCCAATGGCTGTCTGAGAGTTCAACCATGGTCTTGCTTTACCATCTGATGATTGTATGGAACAAGACACTGTCTGATCTTGGGGGGCCCTATGTTGACTGACAAGATCCCCCACGTCTTCCTCTCTAACTCCATCCCTTCTTTACCATTTCCATTATTAAGTTCCTTCCTGGACATTTCCCGTTTAGACTAATCCTTTTCTCCTCTTTTACCTGCCCCTCCAGTCTCTTGGACCTATTTCCACAATGTCTAAATGCCAAATGATCCTCTTCTGGACTTTGCTCTTAGCCTGCCATTCTTTTCCCCATCCGTCTCTCCTTGCTCCCATCACTAAGATGTACATGAAAGAGAGTGATACGAAATATCTGGAAAGGTAGTCAGTTGACAGATTGTGGAGGGCTTTAAGTAGCAAGTACATTGGAGAGACACAAAATGAAAATTTTCAGTCAATCAACAAGCAGTTATTTAGTTCTCACTATGTGTCAGGCACTAGGATAAGCAGTGAGGATACATTCAAAAAAAAAAAAGAAAGAAAGAAAAAGAAAAGAAAAGAAAATTGCCCCTCAAAAAACCAGTGTCTGCTCTCATGGAGCTCATCATTGATCCAAGGAGGGTTTTTATAGACCTGGGGATCCCAGATGAGGCAGCATTTTGGGTTTAGAGGGTTGATAGAAATTCAATACATCAAGAAGTAGAGGAGAGACATGGCTATTCTAAGCAAACAGGAAACACTCAGACCAAAACAGAGAAGCACCTTCAGCTCACGGGGCAGAGGATACTCCATTGTCCTTGGAATATGGAGTACCTGAAGGAAAATAATGTTAAATAAGGATGGAAAAGTGAAGTGATGTCAGGATACTACAGGCTTTGAATGCCAAAAATGAATTTGAATGTCCCTTAATAGGTAATAGTACCAGAAAGTTTTCAGCAGAGGAACAAAAGAAGCAAGTCTGTGCATATGCAAAATCATTCTGACAATTAGAATTTGGGGGCCGGTTGAGGAGGTAGGCAGAGGGACATAGTGACTTGTCCAAGGGCACACTGCCATCTAGTGGTAGATTCTGGACTGGAGCTCAGCTCTACCAACACCCCAGCTTTCCACTGTGGTACATAGTCTTTAAAGTATCTGTAATTTCACACAGCAAATGCTAGATTCCATATGTCTGGTACAGATTAAAAAAAAAAGGACTGAGGCTGAAATGAGGGATTGTAAGGCCCAATACCAGGCACCCCGTTTTTAAGACCATCCACTAAGAACCCTTTGGGAAGCCCTTTCACTTCTTTCACCAGCATCCCCAAATGTCTTTTTAAGAGAAAACAGTATCCTTTCCTATTTATTAATCATTTCCCCCATGCCCAATTATATCCCTAAGCAAGTCAGTCCTCCTCTCTGGGACTCAGTTTCCTTATCCTTAATGGGGTGAGGTAAATGGGAACAGATGATCTCTAGGCTCCCTTTCAGCTCTGACATTCTATGATCTATGAATTGAGCACCCAGGTAAAAGGTGTTGAGGGAGCAGGAGTCCTCCTGGGGTTAGCACTGGCACTGGCAGAAGAGAGCCTGTCTCTACTCAGCCTGAGTGGAATGCTACGGGTTGCAAAAGGAACTGTTAGTTCCGTTATAAAGAAGATAAGCAAACCGAAGCAGTTCAAAGCCATTTGGGGTGGGACTCGTCCTAGATGTACAAGCCACCACTTCACCTATTCCTACCTATCAACCCTGTACATGTTCCTCCTCCGTTTCTCTCTCCCTTCTGATCACCCTCATTCCTCCTTGGTCTTCCATTTCGTGTCTGCCTGATGCCTGTTGTTATGGTCACAGAATAATATAACTGACTCTGATCTAGGTAGATGCCAGGAGAAGAAAACTCCAAGATCTGAACCAGGGAATCTAACAGAAGAAAAGGGGAAAGGATGGACCTCCAGGCTCTGTTCTGGGGAGACCTCGGTGAGGGGAGTACTGGGAAAAGAGGGAAGGCCAGAGAGTACTGAAAACTTATTGTTCCATTTTGGGAAAAATAAATCCATGGAAGTCCATTAGACTTCTCAGAAGACACAGGAATGAGACTAACCTTTGTACTGCCCTGTTCTCCTAAGTCCTATCCATAGGTCTATACTCTGAGCCCTGAGGAAAGGGGAGGTCCACGTTGAAAGACGAATGCTAATGTCAGACATTCCCATGTGTGAATTTATTGAGGTATAAATTTTAGGGTCGGGGAAACCGAGGTACAACAGGGTTTCAGGGGAGAGGAAAAGATTAGTAGAGGGGGCTCGGCTTTGGGGGCATACCGGAAGTGAAAACCTAAGTCAAGGAAGGAAGACATGGGAACTCAAAGGGCTTTCAGGAAGGCTCTGTACTTCTCCAGGAAGGGGTTGGAAGAAGTCCGAAGCTCCTCTTGCAGCTTCTCCAGGGCTCTCTCCTGTTCTTGTTGATCTCCTGACATCTTTGTAGAGAAGTGTGAAAGGTAGAACTTTATCCAGTCATCCACGATGGTGACCATGTCTTCCTCAGAGATCACAGGTTCTGTGAAGACCTGGCAAGGGGAGAGAGATGAAGTCACTATTCAAATATCCTGACTTCCAGGCACTCAGTCTTTCCATCAGTCACTGTATGACTCCCAGAAGCTGCATTTCCTATCCCCTGATTTTGCCATCAAACCCCCACCTTCCTTCCAAAAGCCAAGATGTCTTGTATGCCCTGGTCCTTGAGACAGGATCCTTCTCACCTGCTGATTCAGCAATTTGCTAAACTCCTGCAATGCTGTGGAAATGACATCCTGATTTGACTGGAGAAGAGCCATCTCCCTGCTTAAAGAAAGAAGGTAAGCTCAGGTAACTTTTCTCCTAGAGTTCTGCTACCCACCCCTAACGCCTCTAGTATCTTGTCTCCTTTTCAAATCCCAAGCATTTATTTCCCTCCATCTCTCATCAATCCCTGATGATTTCTCTCTAAGGTGAGCCTCTTTCCAGCTATAGCTAAGGCTTCAGCTTTTGGCTCTGTTCTCGGTGTCTCACCTTGCTTTCTCCAGTTCAGTCTGTGTGTCTGAGCAAGACTAGGAAGGGCAAAGAAAGAATTTGAAGGGAGGAGATACCCAAAGTGGGGTGGCACCCTGTATTCAACCCCTGAACCACAATGATAAGTGAAGAAAGAGGGAGGAGAGAAAGGGAGGATCTTTCCTGAGCCAGGAGATATAGAGGATTGTACAGAAACAGCTTAATGGGGAGGACAAGGCCACTGAATAAAACTAAGATAGCCCCCTACCATCTTCCTCAAATTCAGCTATCATTTTCCCTATAATCTTTGCTTTCTCCCTTTCAATGATGACTTCTCTCTAAGAATTGGAGCACCTGTACTTTCCCAAAGCTCAAGGGCTTATTTCCCAGACCCTTATGTAATCTCTCCGAAGGCCTGGTTCCCAGCTTTCCTTCTAGCCTCTTGCTAACTTCTGGATTCTAGAGAATCTGCCCTGTTTTCCAGGAATCCTTTTCTAGTCTGTCCATGTTAAGAAAGCTGTCAAAAAAGAAGGAAATGCCTTGAGCTACAAATAGGATCTCACAGGATTCTGAATTCAGAGATATAAGGGACCTCTGTGGTCATCTAGTCCAACAATCCTCTCATTTTACAGCTGAGGAAGCTGAGGTGAAGAAAAGTTCAGTGATTTGGTCAGACAGGTTGTAAGAATTTGAACTCAGGTCCTTAGACTCAAAATTTAGAACTTTTTCTGCTGTACAATATTGACAAAGTGAAGAGATAGGATAGGAACAAAGGGAGAGAGAGACACAGAGAGATCAAGTTTTATTCACTTCTACCGTCTTTGATCACTGTTAGAACCGGCAACATCTTGGTATTCTACCCAGGTATTAATATTTCTCTCCCTAGAGCCAAGAGCATTTTATTTAATATTCATCACCAATACCAAGACTAATGATTCAAGGGAGGAAAGATCAGCAGTCAGACATAATGCTGACACATTCATCATGGGAAGGAAAAAGCAGTAACTGCATGTGATTAGTATTCTGCTCACTTAAATACTGGCTTTCTATGGTATCTTCCTGCAAAGAGCTCTCAATGGTTACCATAAGCCTACTATGGTTGGGATCTTCATGTGCATATTATTCTTGCTCATCAGTAAATTGTGTTATGTTGAGATGGCAAACACTCAGATTTTGGTGCAGAAATAGTGTTATCCACTATTATGACAACAAATAGATGTTGAGGGTCTTTTGTGTGGAAGATGATGGGCTAGACCCAGGGAAACAAAGAAGCATTAAGTCTCTGGCCTCAAGGGTCCTCTGCTCTCTAAGGTTCTTTCTTACTCTAAAATCCTATAGTATTAGTCTACTTGGAGAAGCAGAGTCACAAGATCGTGGATTTAGAGTTGGAAGCAGATTTAGGGGACGTCTAATCCAATCTTCCCATTATACAGATGAGGAAACTGAGGCCTAGACAAGTGGAAAAAATTTCCCCAAGATCACCTGGGTAGTAAACAACAGAGGAAGGATTTAAATTCAGGTCCTCCAACTCCAAAACCAGTGCTCTTTTGTGTGCATTTAAAAAAAAAGCGTTGCTACCTTGTTTTGTTATTTAAATGATAAGCAACATAGAAATGGGATCACTGAGGGGCTAAGGGGTGGTTTCAATGAGGTTTCACTAAGAAATCTTGAGTTGGTTCTTTGGAGGAAGGTAAGGTTTAAAGAAATGGAGAGGAAGGGGGAGAGTATTACAAGCTGGGTAAGCAAAGACCTCAAAGTGCTGCAAGACAGATGCTGTATTTTGAAGTCAGAGGACTTGGGTTGTTCAATTCCTGACTCTGCAACTTGCTATCTGGGTAATCTTGAGCTGGTCACTTCACTTCTCTAGGGTTTATTTTCCTTATCCATAAAATAAAGGTATTAGACTAGATGATTGCTAATGTCTCTTCTAGCTCTAAATATCTGAATAATCTAAGAATCTCTATAACATGTTCTGGTGGACAGAGAGCAGAGCAATAGACAGTGAGATGAAGCAAGAAATTTGTGTGGGGAACAGCTTGAAGGAATTGGAGATATTTCTCATTCCTTCTTCCCCTATGCCTTCCAGTTCCTAACTCTGCTCTTCATTCTTTCCTTCATCCTTCACTCCTTTCCCAAGCCATCACCCTTGCACTGGATACGTCCTCCCCCCTTCTTCATCTCACAAGCTTGGTGAACCAGTTCAAATATACAATCATTCTCTATTATTGCATCTTTTGTCCCTTTATCCTATCAATTACACCTTACTAAATCCTAACCCTGTATTATTCCCACTGTTTCCTTTATTCACCTGCTGTTGAACAGATCTAGAGGAAATGCTGAAACCACGCTGACTGATGCCACTGTAAATTTCTGCTGTCTAATCACACCTGGGCCCTCACTTTTGCAGGGCAATTCTTCTCTTCCCTAATCATTTTGTTACTGTACGGTCCACAACTCCCTTGATATTCCTTCTTACTGCTCCTCAAGTTTTCCATGGCACCATTTTCCCCATCTCAGTGGAAGATTTCAATTCATACTTTATAGAAAACATTTGAGGCCGTTTTCCAAGAACTCCCTCATCTCTCCTCATTTCACATCACCCAGACGTCTTTCATCACATTCTTCTTCATTCTTGTTTCCAGTGGAGAGGCAGCCCTTTTCTTTGCCAAAGCCAACTCTTCTACATGGACTCTTGATTCTATCCCTTTCCATCTTCTCAAGCAGATTGTACCCACTGAGATATGCTCCCTATCTTTAATCTTCTATTTCTCCCATATCTACTTGCTTCTTTTCATGCTTATAAACATGATCGTGTTTCCCTATCCTTTAAAGAAAAAAAACCAACCCTTATGTGATCCAACTGAAGAGATTTACCTTTGCCCCTTTTCGACAATTCCCAGAAAAAACCTTGAAACTTTTAGATTCCTTGTAGACTCTATACTTGGTGACCTCATTAGCTCCCATAAATTCAATTATCATCTCTATGAAAATGATTCCCAGATCTATATATTCAACCCTAGTCTCTTTACTGAGCTCCAATCCTGCATCACTAACTGCCTTTTTAGCATTTCATCCTGGATAATTATTTAAAAATCCACATATACAAAACAATATTCATTATCCTTCCTCAAACCCTACCTTATTCCAAAATCCCTTATTACTGTACTGAACACCACCATCCTTCCAGTCAAATTACTGACCTCAGTGTCATCGTCAACTCCTCACTCTCTCTTGCCTCATGCATCCTATCTATTGTCAAATCTTGTAACTTCTACACCAACATCTCTCACATATGTCTTCTTTTCTCCATTCACACAGCTACCACCCAAGTTCAGGTGTTCACCTGAATACCTTCTAATACCTTCTAATTGGTCTCCCTGCCTCAAGTCTCTCCATGCTTCAATCTATCCTCTACTTAGCTACCAAAGTGATTTTCCTAAAGCATAGGTCTGGTCATGTCACACACACATGCCTACCACTTAATAAACTAGTGCAGGGGTGGAGAACCTGTAGCCTCTAGGTCACATGTGGCCCTCTAGGTCCTCTACACTGAAGTTTAGATTCAGTCAAAGGGCTGTACACAAGTTCCCTACCCCTGCTCCAGTGGTTCCGTAATACCTCTAGGATCAAATCTAAAATCCTCTGTCACTTGAAGTTCTTTACAACCTGGTTCCTCCCTACCTTCCCAATCTTTTTACACTTAACTATCTTCTACCATATTCCCCAAAACTTGACTGAGTAGGCTAGAGCTAGAATTTTCTTAGAGTTGATTTCTACCTCTTGTCCTTTATGTGAACCACCAACTGATCTAGGGCCTTTGTCAACATGTTCTCATCGGGCCAGTCAACATTATGTCATCATTATAGTGTTGTCAACCAATGCCCTCAGGAAAGGAAGCCTCTTTCAGGTCTTTGCTCACCATAATGCGGCAGCATGAGGGAGATTTCAGGTAGGCCTGTGTGGGGATGGATGATGAAGGTATACCGGATGCCTTCCCAGGTGAAAACAGACTGTTCCTGACTAGTCTCAGCCACAGGAATAGAGAAACTAGCATTAATGAGGTCAATAACCCCACCTCCCTCACTCTAGGCCTAGGCTGCCCAGGTTTCCTGACCTACAACATTGATGAGGTCAGCATCAGCTGTAGTGATGATTATGATGATTTTGTGTAGCTCTGTGCAGTCCACCATAAGCTGCCAGGTGCCATCAGTCTTCCTCAGGAGAGAGGGTTGCTGTAAGGGGTATTTGTATAATGAAGTGTTCCAGCTTCCTTCATCTCCATCACTAAAGAAATATCTTTCATTCTTCCTGAGGATTTGATACTGGTTGGTGTTAACTAAATGGGAGTTAAGGTAACTCTAAGAGTTTCAATGCTACCTACAGTAGCATATAGAGAGGTTGATGAAAGAGCCTATACAAATATTTATTCCCAAGAGCCTATGATACCCTTTCCTTCCATGGGTTTGTTCTCTATAGCCTCCCCCAATGATCCAAATGGAACTTTGTAGGAAACTTTAGGCTTGGGAGTGGCTGAAAGGCTCTTAGTGTTCCGGTGCTGAATTTTCTCATATAATCTTACAAGTACCATGATGGGCAGGCCCCATATTTTAGGAACCACACCCAAAGATCCCTCCAAGAGATAGTGTCCTTGCCGTCTGCCCATCTAGTAGGCTATTGGGCTCTGTGACTCCTCCCTATTCCCATTAATAGCAGCATTTGTAGAAACATAGCTGTGCTAATACCTTGCTCAAATTTCACCAATTGATCAGCTTGTACCTGTGCCATTGTATGATTAGAGACTCATAGCTAAAGTCTAAATACATTCTGCTGAGCCTCCACCCAGAAGTCAGAATCTAATTTCCCCAGAAGAGGGCTAGTCATAGGGCGTGCCAGGCCAAGGGGATGGGGGTCAAGAAAACAACATGAATAAATCCAATCTATCAAACCCATTTCCTTTAGGAACTTCATCCTTTCCCTTGCAGATTCCCATCTGAAGCTGGCTGTGCTGAAGATTAATATTTATGGGACCAGGTGCAAATAACTCTCCATTTCAGTCACTTAAAAAGGAACAAGGGACAGTCCGCATCTGGATGCTCTAATACATTTATCTAACTCCATAAAAGTCCCCTAAGCCAATGGTACTCAGCTTGGTTCTATTAGACCACACCCTCAGAAGCCATCCCTCCAATGACCCATCAGGTCTCTGAACTTCTGAAACAGCTTTGTTGCCTTTTAGGGAAAACCAATTCCTAACATTTTGAAGTGGGGGAACCCTGGTGCTATCACAGGGACTTTCCTTAAAACTGGGCCCACTTTAGCTAAACAAGGGATAGCGGAAATTACAAAAGATAAAATAGATGAATTTTATTACATAAATTTTGAAAAATTCTGCACAAACAAAATCCATACCTATAGAATAAGAAGCGAAGCAATGGAATGGGGGGAAATCTTTGTATCAAATTTCTCAGATAAGGGTTTAGTATCAAGATACACACACACACACACGTGTGTATATATATGTATATATTTCCATATATGTAAGTAGATATGAAAAGTTCTCAAAAGAATGGCAACATATTAACAATCATATGAAAGAATGCTCTAAAACACTAACAATAAGAAAAAAGCAAATCAAAATAACCCTGAGTTTTTGAAATCCAGAAAATTGGCAAAGTTGAGAAAAGATGGGAATGGTCCATGGTGGAGAGGTCATGGGAAGATATACATTAGGCCTGCACAACATCACAGGCCACTTATGGCCAGAGTGCTGCCCGCCAAAGGATTTCAGGCAGCCCACGAAAAATGTAGAAGATATAAACAGGCCTGCTGCTTGTAGCTGCCAAAGGATCACCCAGAAAAAATGTAGATTATGTAAAACAGGCTTGCACAACATCCTGTCCACCTGCCACTTTGGCAGACTGAAAGCAGCCTGCAGGCTGTATGTTGTGTAGGCCTGATATACACACTAGTACATTGTTGATGGAGCTGTGATTTAGTACGACCATTTTAGAAAACAATTTGGAATTATGCAAATAAAGTGATTAAAATGTCCTCTAGATGTTATGTCCTTCTGGACTCAGGGTAGCTTCTATCTTCGGCAACCCTTAGGCTCAGAGAGTCCACGCCAGAACCATACTGGCAGGGCCAGGCAGGGTTAGACTTTTTCCTTTGACCCAGAGATTTCACTTCTAGGTATATACAATGAGGTCATTGATAAAAACAAAGTCCTATATACACCAAAATATTTATAGTAGCACTTTTGGGGGTAGCAAAGAGCTAGAAACAATGTAGCTGCCCATCAATTTGGGAAATGGCTTAACAAATGGTGGCACATGAATATTACTATGCTGTAAGAAATGATGAATGTGATGAATACAGAGAAACATTCAAAGACATATATAAACTGATGCAGGGTGAAGTAAGTAGAGCCAAGAAAATAATATACATAGTAACTATAATAAGGTAAATGGAAAGAACCACAAAATAATCACAGGTAAATGTTACAAAATTATAAAGAACAAGCATGATCTTAAAGAAGAAATGTGAGAGGTCAACTCTCACTTTGTTGTAGAAGTGGGAAGCACATAGCTGTGGAACATTACATATATATATATATACATAGATACATATATATATATATATATATTCAGACTTTTTCCAATGTATTAATCAGTTTTGCTGATTGCCTTTTCTTCCTCATTTTTGTCTTTAAAAATATTCTTTGCTACATGGGGTTGGGGGGAGCAGGAGGGAGAGGGGAAATTTTAAGTAATGGGAACAAAAGCTATCAAAATTTTTTTAAAACTAGGTCTAAAAGAAAAATAAAGTGGTAAAGTACTGAAGCTGGAGAGTGGTAGGAAACTCAGGGGAATGGAAACAACACTGAAAAACTTAAGTGAAGGAATTTTCTGAATCCAGCAAGGCACTCTCCCTTATACCACAAGGCCTCCTTTAAATGAAAGTTGAGGGTATGAGAATGGAGGTCAAAAGACACTAAAGCTCTGGCCCATTCTCATATTCCTGGAACAGGCCACTGAGAAACCAAGGTCTGGACAAGAGGCTACAGCATCCTTTATTAAGTGCTTTAAAGTTTGCACAAATAGCTCACAAACACCATCTCGTTTGAGCTTCAGAACAACAATGTGAATTGGGTCCTATTATCTCCATTTTAGAGACAGGGAAATTGAAGCTGGAGGAGGCTAAACGATTCGCCCATAGTGATACAGCTAAGTGTTTGTTAGAAGTAGAATTTCAACACGGGTCCTTGTGACTCTGAGTCTAGGCAGGCAAGTGGCCTCTCAGGCATTAATCACAGCTCTATCTGATATAAACGTATTAAGGTTTGCAAAGCGCTTTGCAGGCATCACGTGAATCCTCCTAAGAGCCTGGGGAGTCAGTGCTGCTATCATCCGCATTTTACAGAAGGGAGGAAACTGCGGCCACCCTAGAGTTGAGGGTCACAGAGCTTAGTAAGTGTCCGAGGTCTGATTAGAACACCAGTTTTCCTTGTTAGAGGTGCTCTACCCACTGTGCCATCTGACTGCTCCCACCCTTTAACTCTATACGCCCCTACGCCTGGTCCCTAGGAGCCCGCGGGGGAGGGGGGAGGCTGTGTTGTAGGAGGGAATTTCGTGCTTCGCCTTTATGTACGTTATGTCCTTCCGGAGTCGCCGTAGCTTCTAGCCGTGGCAACCCTCGGGCTCGCAGGGTCCATGCCGGAATCACGCCGGCGGGCCGGGCGGATGTACGGGGTTAGAGGTCATCGGTCCCGACCGCTCCTGTTTGTTTTTGCAGCTGTTCCTAGTGGAAACTTAGAGCAGGCGCCTGCGGACCGAGATGGCGGCTAGCAAGCGGCCCGTGGCCCTACAGTGCTGGGAGCGCTTCGGCTCCGGGAGCCCTCGCAGCTGCACCATAGCCCCCGACGGGAGCCTGAGCTGGGAGGCGGGGGGCGGGCCCGGGCAAGGCCTGCGAGCCGCTTTCACGGTGACGGATGGTGGGGAGACCCCCGGGAAGAGGAGAGTGTCCCGAGACCCTCCCCTCTCCCCGCCCGGGGAGGGAGTAGAAGAAGGTCCCCTCCGGGGAGGGAGTGTGTGTGGAGACCCCCCTCCAGGGAGGAGGGGGTGTAGAGATGAAAGTATTTAATGAATTAGACTTTTAGAGAGCAGAGAGACCCCTCCTCCCATGAGGGGCGGGGGAGGGGCAGGGATAGTGGGTGGTAGATATAACTGCAGGTAGATATAGATAGTGGTTGGTAGGATAGAGACAATCCCTGCCAAGGAAGAGAGGCAGAGCTACCCCCCAACTCCTGTAAGGGAAGAAAGACACTTGGGATGAGGAAGCACGAGGTCTTCCAAATCCACGCATAAAGATCATCCGAGGGGTCCATTGTGGGGCGGGAAGTGCAGTCCCGGCATCCAGGGCACCCTAGAACTCCCTTCGCTTCTCTCCCCGCTCCCTCCCAGGCCGTGTTCCTACCTCATGGCTTCCCTGACAGCGTCAGCCCTGACTACCTGCCTTACCAGCTGTGGGACACAGTGCAGGTTATTGTCCAGCCCCCCCAAGGGGGAGGGGGGGCGGCTGGGAGGCCCCACCATCAGAGGAACCTGGAGGTCAGCTAGGTCAGGGGTCTCTTTTTACAGAGGAGGAACTCGAGGCCCAGACTGGCCCGCTTGAATCCAGGCCTCTTTTTCTTTTTCACAGTGTTCTTTCCATTCTTTACTTTGGGGTGTTATGACAGGACTGGCAGGTTGGTGTAGTGGAGCAAGCCCTGGGCTGTAAGTCAGAAGACCTGTTGTAGTTTTAGGTTTGCCTGGGTTCCTCCTGGTCTCTATCTGGGCCCCTGTTAAAGGGAGGGGGTTTGACTGAATGATCCCTAAGGTCCATTTAAACCATGTTATGACAAATTCCAAGCTGGGGAAACTATGACATTTCTCTTACCAGATATCCTTTCACCATCCAGGCTTTTGCCTCCAGCCTCACGGGCTCCTTGGCTACCCAAGCTGTCCTTCAGGGGGTAGGGGTGGGGGATGCGGCTGCTTCTGTCTCAGCTGCCACCATCACTTGGCTCTTAAAAGGTGAGCTATGATCTCTATGCCAGCCCCAAATAGCCTGTATCTTTTCAGCCCCTTTGTTCCCAATTCAATGCTTCCTTTTCCCTCCTTCCCACCCCAAATACCTACCATGCTTCCCTCTTTTGTTTGTTTTTGTTTTTGCTAGGCAGTGGGGTTAAGTGACTTGCCCAAGGTCAGAGCTGGTAAATGTCTAGTGTCTGAGGCCAGATTTGAACTCAAGTCTTCCTGACCCCAGGGCTAGTGCTGTATCCCCTGCATCACCTAGCTGCCTCCATGCTTACCTCTTCCTCCAGTCCCTTTCCCCACCTGGCATTCTGGATTCTTGTCACTAAAGAAAGGAATTCATTCTGCGATAAGTTTCCTACCTCTAATCCATTCTGCACTGGTCTGTCAGGCTAGTCTTTAAAATGCACAGTTCTGACCCTATCATGCCCACTCTTATTCAGAAACCTTCAGTATCACCTCATTGCCCTCAAGGCATGAGTTCTTAACCTATTTTTGTGTTAGGGACCCCTTTGTAAGTCTGGTGAAACTATGGACCCCTTTTCAAAGTAATGTTTTTAAATGCATAAATTCACAGACCCAGGTTGAGAACCCCTGATTTAGGATGGTCTATGGTTTAAGATTTCCACACCCCCACCAATCTGACTTTGCCATTCTGACTAATCCTGTTCATTGCACCTACCTTCCAGCATTCATTCCCACTTCTTCCTTATACATTTTACTCCACCTGGAATTTAATTCAATATGTATTGATTACCTACAATGTCCAAAGCATTGCATTCATTGCTAAAGGAGGGGCAAGGATAAATTAGACAGAGCCCATAAGGAGTTTGCTTACCTTCTACTACTGTTTCCACCTGTCAAAAATCCTTAGATAACCACCAGCCAGAAGTCATCCTTCATTCTTCCATATTCCCATAGCATTGTTTGTACTACTCCTGAGGCATTTATCGCTTTATACCTTTTATAATAGTTATTTGTAAGTTGCTTATTTCACTTGTTAGACTGTTTTATGAGAGCAGTGATTGTGTTTTAAATATTTTTGTACCGTCTCCCTTCCTCCTCTGCATCCCCTCCTCCCAGCAATTTACACATAGTAGATGAGAAACTTACTTGTTGACTGAATGAATGAATGAATGAACAAACATTGAATTCAGAGATCTTTTGACCTCACTTGCCCTCTCTTCTACTGTAGATGGAACTGGCATGCTGGGACGAATTAGTTTTGCCTGGTTGATGGGGTAAGTGAGTTCATCTTTCTTCCAGATCAGGTCTGATTAAATCAAGAGCTTTCATGGGGGTAGTCACTATTCTTTTAGCCATCAGTAAAGTGGCAGGGCTGGCCCTCACCCAAATTGTGAAGTTTGATTTTAGTAGCTTCCCATTTCCCCCAACCTCTTTTTCAGGTAATGAATCAGTATTTCTTGATATCAATTGCAATATCAATATCTCTTTTTCTAATTTTCTTTTCCCTTTCTCTAAACCACTGAACCCACTCGGTTTCTTAAGAATGTTAGAGAACCTTAGAAGAGGAAACTGAGCTCAAAGGGGCACTACCCAAAAGCCACATGTAGTTAATGATAGAACTAGGACTAGATGACCAGTCCATGGCTCTCTGCACCACCCTTTGTTGCCTTGTGTTTCATTTCTCTTGTCAGGGGAGAAAAGATATGATAATATCAAATACATTAAGGTGTTAGGGGCCAAATGTGTTCCTTCTCCCAGTGCTGCTTGAATTTCAAAAGAAAGAACTTAGAGAAGGCAGTGCTTAAATCAGAGTAGATCTCTAATGTTGGGGGTTTAGGCATCAACGATGAGTCAGATGAGAGATATTTTTGGGGAGAGAGGGTTTTCCTAGGGCCCTTCAAATCACACTATATGCTCTGCCTATATGTGAAGCTGGCTGCCACACTAGCCATAGTAAATGCTTTCTTCTTGGTTCCAATGCATGCTAACCTCTCTCCTACAGGAGCAGACTGGATTGTGAGGCCAAAAAATGGAGGTAATGAGGATGCAGTGGGGAAGCACAGAGCTGGTGGGGGTTGGAGGGCACAGGATGAATCTTTTGTTATGGAAATTCAGGACCCCCTAACCTCTAACCTCTGACCCCAGGCTCTTTGCTGATGTTCTCAATGATGCAGCCATGTTTCTAGAGATTGTGGCTCCAGCATTCCCATCCTGCTTTACTCTCATTGTTTGTGTCAGCAGCTTGGCCAAGGTACTCATCTTGAGAAGAAATGGGGGGCCAATCATTTCACAATCGTTTACTCGTAGCTTATTGTGGCCATAGTCCTATGTTTCTTAGAAGATTGAGAGATGCGTAAGACATGTGCTCTTGAGGAGTCCAGCAGGAGCAATGAAACACAGGGGCTTGCAAGTTTAAATAAAAATGACAGTGTGCAGTAAATTTCATATGAGTGGTGTAACCTGATGCCTCATGGTGGTATCGAGATGACTCAGAATTTTCCATGTCAGTGCTAGAAAAGGAGACAGTTTTGGCAGGGTCTGCCACACTGGCTTCATACAGGGGCCTAATGATTAGGTGTTACCCAAGAACTAGCATTGGTACATGCAGAAAGGCTCCCCAACAAGAGGTTGACCAACAAGTAGCGACTTTGGGCTTGGTTTATGAAACCACAGACTGAGGTGTGGTGGAGTTACGGTCTGCCTCAGTGGAGGGAGTGCCTGTACCTCTGAATCTTGAAGTATTAAGAGAAACATGGTTCATAAGGATTATCAGAGTTCAGCACTGAGGCAGCATGGTGTGTTTGAATAGTCATGAACTGGGAGTCAGAAAACTTGGGTTCTAGTCCCATTTCTGCCACTGACTAGTTATATGATTGAGCAAATCATATCAGTACAATTTCATTAATTAAAATGAGGTGGTTGAACTAGATGATCTCTAATTAGACTCCAAAATTCTAGGATTCCATCAATGATTTATGACCTAAGAGAGCTGGAGTGGTCAGGGAAGACTTCAGAAGTAGGAGGTGAGATTTGAACTGGGCTTTAAAAGATAGAGGGCAGTATTTAGTGAGGTAGGGAAGGTGGAGAAGAGCATTTTAGGGATCATGAAATCTGGAAAACATAAAAGTAGACAGAGAATAGGCAAGAAAGCATAGCTGGTGTTAATTTTGTGGGGTGGGGGAGGAGAAAATAGAAAGATTAAAGATCTGTGGGGCTTGTTCCCCACGCTTCGGGCTTCTGCTTTGAGGAAAGGAGTCCTTGACTGTGGGGGTTCTGAGAAGGGAGAGATTAGGTCAAGAGCTGCTAGATCCAGAGGGGAAAAGGACCCACTGTGTCTGATGGAGGAGGAAGATGACTATTTCGTTCCTTCATTGAAGAGAAAATGCCTCAGGTTCCTGAAGTTGGGGCTCTTGAAATTCAATAGGAGGGCACTGGTCACTGGGGACAGTGTATATTTAATAAATATTTATTTATTAGTCTGCTAGTAAGTGCAGGGACAGTGTTGGCATAGTGGAGAATATTGGACTTACAGTCAAGAAGATGTAGGTTCAAGTCCCATTTAATAGGTGTTTGATCCAGAACAAGTCACTTAACTTCTGAATTTGAATCTCATCTATAAAATGAAAGAGTTGGCCTTGGTAATTTCTAAGCTTCTATCTCAGTCTGTAATCCTGTAAGATACTAGGTTAAATGCTGGGGATACAAATAAAAAATAAAATATTCCAGGCCTTCAAAGAGCTAACGTTCTTTTTCTCTCTGGAATCACAGCGATAGGTTTGGTTTTTGTACTAAACTGCAGGTACAATGCTGGGTTCTTTCAGGATCTTAGACCCATTTTCTCTCACTAATTTAGGGAAAGATTCAAGATTTCCTCCAGTTCGTTGAAAATGAGGGCTATTTGATCTAAGGGGCATCTAGGTGGTATAGTGGATAGAGTGCCAGGCCTAGAGTCAGGAAGACTCTTTCCTGAGTTCAAACCTGGCCTCACACACTTATAAGCTTTGTGACCCTGGGCAGATCACTTCACCCTGTTGACTTGTATTTCCTCATCTGTAAAATGAGCTGGAGAAGGAAATGGCAAATCAGTCCAGTATCTTTGCCAAGAAAACCCCAAATGGGATCATGAAGAATCAGACACGACTGAAAAAAGCAACTGAACAGAATTTGATCTAACTGTAATAATTAGTCTTCACAATGTGACGTTGTTATATTGGGCACTGAGCTTTTTCTTTCTTCTGTCATATTTCACTCTTAGTGCATTGTGGGAGTAGCAGGAGGAGCCACACGGGCAGCCCTGACCATGCACCAGGCCAGGAGAGACAACATGGCTGATGTTTCAGCTAAAGATGGAAGCCAGGTGAGAGACCTGAGAAGAGTTGTGGGGTCAAGTCGAAGGGTAGGACTGAAGTTGAGCTGGAATAGCAAGGGCTGAGTTGGGGATCTTTGGGAAGGTAATCTAACCCTCCTTTTGGGAGGAGCAGAATTTAAGGAGATACCACAGTGTCTGTGAGTAGGTCTGATAAGCTAATCCAGACATAGCCAAATGTGATGGTTTCTTTCACTGACCGAGAGGATCCACCTAGCAGATTAACAGCTTGTCCTCCTCAACCTTTTCCCATGTGAGAATAGCTGGAGGGTAGAGGAGAGGGTGAGAACATGTCAGGACTAAACCTGGAAATTTGGGGCTGAGAGTCCCTTCTCCCTAGTGTTAGTGAAAGGTTAGTGTGTTAGTGGAGTTTGAGGATAAACTGAGAATCCATCCAGGTTGCAAAGGTGCTCCAGACAATACTCATGTAGCAGCCTGAGGACAGGCAAGCTTCATTTGACACCCAGACAATTAAACTCCTGTAAACACTTCTTTGTTGCACTTTTTTTTGGGTTCAAGTTGTCTTAATTTATGATTTTATGAAAAATTTATCGTCTCCCTTCTTAGTTTGGAATTGATCTAATTGAGGAATTGATTGAAGCATAGTCTCATAAATTTAGAACTGGAAGGAATCTCCAAGAGGCACATTTAAATGGGTGATAGAGCTGGGAAGGCAACTTATGGCTAGATTTTTAAAGATTCTTGAATTGCAGGTTAAGAAACTTGGGCTATATTCTGTAGGAAATAGAGAACTATTGAGGAATGACATGGTAAAATCTCTGCTTTAGAAAGATTAATCTGGCAGTGGCTCCATGATGTCAGAACTGCTGGCCTGACATTTTTCCTTTCTGCCAACTTGTGTCCCAATGCAGGAGACTCTAGTGAACTTGGCGGGGCTGCTGGTCAGTCTTTTACTTCTTCCTCTGCTATCTGAACGGCCAAGGTGAGATTTTAGGGGAAGTCATGAAGGAGAGGATTGTGAGTTCCTTGTTTTATTTACCTTGCCTTCTAACTCTGATCTCATTCTCTTTTCCCTAGTCTCAGTCTTGCTGCCTTCTTCCTTTTCACTATCCTCCATCTTTATGCCAACTTGCGAGCAGTTCGGGCAGTCATCATGGAAACGTTCAATGAAGCTCGACTTTACCTTGTCCTAAAACACTTCATTCAGTGGGGAAAGGTCTTAACACCCCCTTTAGCCAATCGTATGGAACCACTGTGGACAGGTGACATTGCCCCTCTTCTTCAGCCTCCCACATACTATAAACCAGGGGTGGGGAACCTGTGGCCCTCTGGGTCCTCAAGTGTGGTCCTTTGACTGAATCCAAACTTCGAAAAACAAATCCCATTTTTCAAAGTTTGGGTGCAGTCAAAGGGCTGCACTTGAGGACCTGGAGGGCCACATGTAGCCCTGAGGCCACAAGTTCCCCACTCTTAGTTCCTAAACCTAGTTCCTGCTGAACCTCCTGACCCTGGCTTCCCACAGGCTGCCACCCTACCCTGTCTCTGTCCCTGGGCGTACCCCTGCACAGCCTGGTCTCAAGGTGAGTGACATCCTTCTCTCTCTCTCTTCTTGCCTTCTCCTCCCATGCATTCCCTAGACAACTGTTAACCCCATATGAAGACCTTGCACTTCGTTACCACTAATGGCCCTTGCCTCAATCCCTCTCCTTTGGGTTTCCTGCCCAGCCATATCTCTCACCCACAACCACTCTACCACTGCCACCTTCTCCTCTCCCATATACCCCCACATTTTGTTTCTTTCTTTCCTTAGTGCCTCTGAACTGCAGCAGGTGAGTGAGGGGCACCAACAACCCTACCTCCTTCGCTGGGACCGTTGCCGAGGTGAGAGGGGTAGAAAGCAAGATAGGCTAGGGGAGGAAGAGGAAAGGTAATGGAATGAAGCTTGATGAATAACTCCCTTCATTTTCTTTTCCTTTTAGATAGTTTTTATAAGAACGTGAAAATCCCTCTTAACTCCCTTTAATAATAGCTTAGTCAGACAAAAGGAATGTTGACTACATGATATAGGTAGGTAGATCTGGTTGAACAGTTGACCCCAGAATATTAAGATCAGTGTCAACCAGGATGATCCAGTGCTATAGGACTTTCTAATCTAATTAACATTTTTATCCTCAGCTTGGATGAAGTATATGGCAGGGCAGATACTACAAAGGAAGCTAGGTGGTGCAGTGGATCGAGTGCTAGGCTTGGAGTCAGGAAGACTCATCTTCCTGAGCTGAAATCTGGCCTCTGACACTTACTAGTTGTGTGACCCTGGGCAAGTCACTTAACACCCTGTCTGCCTCAGTTTCCTCATCTGTAAAATGAGCTGGAGAAGGAAATGACAAATCACTCTACTATCTTTGACAAGAAAAGTCCAAATGGGGTCGTGAAGAGTCAGACACAACTGAAAATGACTAAACAACAATAACCATCACATTAGGCAGTTTTGCAAAGCTCAGGAAGATAGCTTTATTGAATGACAACCAGAATTCAAAAGATTTCAATTTTTGTTGAAAAATGGGCTAAAACAATTCTCAAATTACTTTGTGATATCAATGTGGATGTTCCCTCCAACATGTAGATAGTAGCTTCTCTATGCCTGTCTGTCCTGAGCTGTTCTTGGCCATGTTCTTCCATATAAGATTGTTACATTGGGCCCTAACCAATGTGCTAAGAACCTTCTTTACTTTCTCCCTACTTCAGGAGGATGCCAGTAAAGTAAATAGGAGGTTCATTAAGTGATCAGCCTATCTCTTTTTTTCCAATCATAAATTTCCCTGATGACATACTTTGTTCCCATTCTTCTCCAGAGTTCCTAATTTGCTATGTGTGATAGCCTGCTCCTTCTCACACTGTGTCTCTGTTGCCCTCTGAGTGATATTATTTCAAAAACTGTTAGTGTTCTGTGACCCAGAGCCATAGGACTAACTGAAACAGAAGAAAGGAAATGAGAATAGATGTAAAGGCCTACACTGCACGAGGACAAGGTTAGGGGGACCTTACTTGACAGCAGTTTGTGTGAAAAAGATCTGAAGGTTTTAGTTGACCACAGGTTTGACATGAATGTGTCAGCAATCATTGTGAGCTCATGATACATGAACTTACTGACTCTGAAAGTCCTTTCCAGACATGAGAGTCTGTGGAGCTATACATTCTTCTGTAGCTTATACCTACACACACACATACACACAGACTGTATACGTATATACATACATACTCACACACATACGCTTCTTGGCTTTTATTACCTCTTGGGGTTACAAATTCTGTGAATTTACTCCCTTCTGTAAATTATATGTTCTCTTTTTATAGACTTCAGAACTCCCAGTAGACTTTTCTCCATTATAATCAAGGATTTGGGAAAGAAATCTGCCTTTTCTTTTATGAGTTAATTGGCTTTTGTCACATCCCCTCTCAGTCTTCATCTTTCCAGATGGAAAAAGCCTAGTTCTTCTGTTCTAGCCTCATAGCAGTCACTCACTTCTCTTTCTTTCCCCCCAAGATTTCTGTAATTGTTCTTCCAAGGATCTTTTTCAATTGCTGCAATCAAAAAACATTTATTAAGCACCTGTATAAGAAGGTTGTATGCTAGGTGCACTGATGTAAAACATTTCCCTGTCCTCGAGGAGCTTACAGATGTGTTTGGGGAGATAGGATATGTACACAGAAAAACAAACCTAATGATACCAGGACATGTAAGCTAAAGGCCAAATAGTGGGATAGACAATAAATGTTCCTGGAGTTCAAAGAAGAGAGAATAGAAGGTGAGCTAAGTCAGTCAGGAAAGGCTTCACGTAGGACACCGGATTTAATTAAAGCCTTGAGGGATGAGTAGGGAAGAAGAGAAGGCATTCCAGGAGCAAAGACATAGAGGTAGGGGAATGCATAAGGTGTGTCCTAGAGATGAGACCAGCGTGCCAGGCTAGTATTAACTTGTTAAATTAATCTCTCTAGGCCAGATACAGGTGACTTTGGGTCAGGAAGTAAGTGCTGGAGTCATTCTGAGGGCAGCAACACATGGACTTTTGCTGGCAACACTGTTGGAGGATGTACCTCTCACAGAAGAGCTGGAGACCCTGAGGGGCCAGATCAGGGCAGGTGAGAGCTGAGGGTTTTCTATGAGGGGGGATGAAGGTGGGGCAGTGAAGTGAACAGCAGGAAGAGAGAAGGGCTGGTTCTTAGTGCTGACTCTAGTTATTGTTTTGGTCCCACAGCCCCTGAAGGAGACAACTGGACCATTGTCAAAGAAACTTACCAGATCCTTGATAGGCTCTACCCCAAGTTCTTGAAAGGTAATAAAATCCATACTCCATCCTTTAACCATCCTGCATTGAACTGGGATTTGAGAGTGCTGTATTCTGATCTGAGCTCTTCCACTTACTTATCATGTGACCATGACAAATCACTTCTTTTTTCTGAATTTGCTTTCTTGGCTTTAAAATGGGGAGGGGTTGGAGAGAGGGTACAGATCAGATTAAAGGCCCTTCAGTGGATTATGAGGGACTCTTCCCCACCAGAGCTGCAAGCTGTAGGCTGGGAGACAGAGCACCATCTATTGGAGGTGGACGAGTGGCGAGCTGCATGGTCCCTGGGCGAGAAGAAGACTTTGTGAGTGCTGCCGTCATCACGTGAACCTAGGCAAGGCCAGATGGGGACCAGAAATGCTCTGGAATTGGATCGAAGGAATAAGGATTCCGGAGAAAATGAGCTGTTCTCAGTGGGTAAAGCCTCTCCTTTGTCAACACCTCCATTTTCTTTGAGTGGGAGAGCCTTTTCTGTGATACTATTTTAAAAATGACATTGGACTCTCCAGATCTGTGATAAGTTTTATTTTTGTTCAATCCCAAAGCCAACCACATTTTAAACTGACACGATAATATAAATGATGTATGCATTCATTAAGTACAGTGGTGGTGTGTAGTTGATGAGCGATCAAGCTGATACCCATAAAAATGAGCCCGAGTCTTCATGTTAGGGTTCCTTAGGTCCTCACAAATGGCTAGTCCTAGACTCCAGCTGTACCAATGCTGAAGTTGCCCGGCATCCCTGCTCCTTATTCCCCACCCCCAACCCCCAGCAACAGAGAGACCCAGCGTGGCACTGGATTGCCAGTGTTCTGCCCCCAAAGGTCTCAGGCATAAAAACCCCAGAGGAAGACTGCCACTGCCATCATGAACAGTGCATTGAGGTTGACAAAGCGAGCCCAGTGTGGGTCCTCAGTAATGTCTTCCAGTTGCTGGGCCCTTGTTTCCTCAGCTGTGGGAGGTGAGGAGCTGCTTGGATCGCTTCCAGTCATCCCACAGAACCAGAGCAGGCAACGATGGAATAGGCCTGGGGTTGCAGGTGGGGGTTCTAAAGGAAAAGAAGACTCAGTGCTCAGCAGATGGAGCCCCCTGAGCCTCCCACCCTTCCAAAGAAAGAAAAACCAGTCCCTCTCCCTAATGCTTGTAGACAGGGCTGGTTCCAGTCCCCATTCCCAGTGGCGTACCATCCATCTCTACTGCATGTTCCAGCTGACCATTCTGCACTGGGAATTCAGGGGGCCCTGTGTACTGCTCATCCACGTCCAGGTCCTCCCGTTCTTCCTCACTGTGACGGAGGCTGAACACAAGGCGGTGGAGCTAAGAGAAGAAGGAGCCTGTAAATTCATTTGTTCATTGGATTTACTTATTCAGTTGGCACTCACCAAGTTCAGGTCAACATGGGGAATACTGATACTCATTAGACTCAGTTCCCTCCTGTAAGGCATTTGGTCCATGAGGGAAGAGGGGGTGCAGCCTCTAGCAAGAAGGGAACCATCCAGACTCTAGTCCACTTACATGTTTTTGGGGGATGGGTGTTGTGCAGAAGGATATGGTGAGGATTAAGATACAGGAACAGATGAAAAGCACAATGGCAAAATAGAGGTAGTGGACACCACAGAAGAGACCAGGGCAGGAGGAGGGCCGGACACAGCTGCCGGTGCCAAAGGAGAACTCTGGGATGAGGCGGGCCAACCCCATCAGGAGGCCTCCAATTAACCCCCAAAAGGCACCCTGGGGAAAAGAGGGGTGATCACTCTTAAATGTGACCCCCCCAAACCCAAGAACCCTCCCCGCAAGTTACTGTACTCTCAAGTTCCTTTTCTTAGGCCTAGATGTCCTGCCCCCTAAGTTCCCTTTCAGTCTAGGTTTTTGGGGCTTACTGGTTCGTTGACCCTGGGCACAAAGAGGGCAAGAATGAAGACTGCTGAAACTGGTGGGGCCAGGTAGCTGGAGACAGCTTGGATGTAGTCGAAGAGCTGACCACCTTGTGCAGCCTGGACCACCGGGAGCCAGGCAATTGAGACTGCAACAGTAAATAGCACCCAGAGCCTAGGAAGGAGAACAGAGAGGTCAGGACTGTGGACCAGTTTCTCCACCCCCAGCTGAGACTCAGGTGTTGATTTCCCGGATAAGTGTACCCCAGAATCCTTGTCTCTAGGAGGGGCTAAGGGCTGATCCTTACCGGCCCACCAGCAGCAACTCTTTGTCTCCGGCTCGGGGTCGGAGCCTGGTGTAGATATCCATGGTGAAGAGTGTGCTGCTGCTATTGAAGATGGAGGCCAGGGAGCTCATGAGAGCAGCCAGCATGACAGCCAGCATTAGTCCACGAAGACCTAGGCAGAAAGGAGGTGGTAGGGCTGGATGGGATCTCATGGAAAGAGCCCTCACCGAGAGGAGGCCTTGGTTGTGGTTCTGGCCTTACCACTAACTCATTGTTTACGTCTAGGTAAACAGCTTTCCCTTTCTGGGCTTCAGTTGCCTCTTCTGTAAACGGGGGCTGGGCCTGATCTCCAAGGACCCCTATAGCTCTCCTATTCCATGACTGACAGATGTCTCCTCCATTTCCCACTCCCCAGCTCACCGTTGGGCATGAGTTTCACCACCAGTAGGGGGTAGGCAATGTTGGAACAGCCAACCTCTGTACCACAGACCTGCTTGCACACTTCTGGAGCCACACATGCCACCTTATCTAGGAGAGGACCAAACAAAGCTGGAGAAAACCAGGTCCTGGAAGACATGGAAGTTGAGCATCTATATGCCTGGGTTTGAGACAGGAAGCAAAGTCCAAGGATCAGGACACCTGGATCCTAAGGTCAGAGTGAAGCTGAGGGGCTGTTACCTGGGAAGAGAATTCGGCTAATCATTCCTGGCATGACCATTAGGAACATGGGCAGCAGCTTCAGGTAGCCACACAGGATACAGCCAGCCTTAATGTGGGTCAAGTTCTTTCCTGCCAGGCATCTCTGTACAATAACCTGAAATATGAAGGAGATCCCTTGGCTCAGATCCAGTTCTCAGACCCCAGGATTCCCATACACCCCTCCATACCTTCTGCTCCATACCTGGTCGCTGCACCAGTACCAGCCAGAGACAATGGTGAGCCCCACTAGCAGGGCTGGCCAAGGCAGATCACTAGTCACTGGGTCCCGAAGAAGGTGAAAGGAGTCAGCACGGGGCTGGTAGCAGGAGGGAGAGATGTTGCCCACTATGGGGTCCTCAGAAAAGGTTTGTGTCGTCTTGGCTTCCAAGTACTTGTTAAAGAGGCCTGTATACCCGCCCACCTCATTGAAAGCTGGCATAGGGACAGAGGATAGTCACAAGTCCTGGCACACAGATTTGCCTCTTCCCAGAGATCTAGATTCTTCCTAGATTGAGGGGCCCAAGCTTCCTTTTCCCCTTAAAAGTTCCATCCCTTTCTGAGAGATTGAGGTATCCTGTCATCTAGCCTTTAGTACCCCTCCCTGAACTCGGAGTTCTGCTTTGCCATACCGTAGCCCATAAGAATGAATGCTCCCCCAAGAATGACGGAAGTCTGGATGGTATCTGTGTACATCAGTGCAGCTAGGCCCCCTGGAAGGAGAATGGGGTCAGAAGATAGGCCTTCCATTTCCCTCCCCCTAAAAATCACAAAAATAATAATGGTTGTATAATTTCTAAGGCACTTGTACATCTATAATTTCATTTGATCCTCAGTTTCACCCTGTGAGTTGGGTGGTAGGGCGGGGTCTATTATTTCTCCTTGCTAGATGAGAAAATGGTTGTTGCTCCAGTTTGGGGTGCTACATTTTGAAAAGGACTTTGACAACTAGAGCATGACCAGGTAAATGTGAATAAGAATGGTAAGGGAACTAAAAATCTTCCCATTGTTTGACAGAACTGGGGATGTTTAGTTCCCCATTCCTGGTTTAGTCGATAGAAAGTAAGCTGGAGAAACATGATTAAGTCTGGATGGCCAGCATATGAAGAGCTATTTTATTTGACTTCTAGGGTTCAGTACTAGGAGCAAGGAGGGGAAAGTGTAGAGAAGATTTTTGCTAAATTAAGGAAGAACCTAATGATCAAAGCTGTCCCAAAAGGGGAAGGGGCTGTCTCAAGAGTGTTCCTGGCAGTTGAAAGTCTTTGACATAAGTAAGGGTGGATGACTACTTCAGGGTATTTGCTGAGGAAGTAATTCCCATTCAGGTAGAGGTTGGATTCAGTTAAAGTTCTTAACCTTTTTCTTCATCATGGACCCCTTTGGCAGTCTGGCCAAACCTCTGGATCCTTTCACATAATAAGTGTTTTTAAATGCATAAAATAACAGAATTGCAAAGAAAACCAATTATAAAAAAGGGAATGACCCCAGATTAAGAGCCCTTGGACCAGATGATCTTTGAAGTATTTTCCCATTTGAGATTCTGAGGCTGGGGGAGGTACTTTGCCCAAGGCCATGCAGTGAGGCCGGGGCTGGCACAAAGGACTTTTGCCTTTTTGTGTTTTGTTTTTTCCATTAAACCATATGGCCTCCCTTTTGTCCTATTATCTGTGGCATGCCATTTTATACTAAATCATAACCCTTTTTGCCCCAGTGAGTTGTCATGTTGGCTCTGGAGTTTGAATCCTGAATGCTACTTAACCTGCTCTTGTATAACTTTATTTCCCCTCTCCAGGCCTCATTTTCCTCAACTGAGAACACTTCCAACCCTATAATCCATGAACTTTGGTGCCATTCCCCACAGCACCACAAGCCAACGGGCTTGGAACGTTTGCTTTCTTATATGGAATCCACCAGAAAGGGAGGGGCTCTAAGCCTGCCCTGCCATCAGAGCCAGCCAATGAGGAAAAAACCACCTAGCCTGGCCACATGTGGGTCAAATCCTAAATTAAAAAGGTGAAGTGACTCTCCCTTGGTCCCACCTGTCTCTCTGAGGCCCCATTCCTATTGGCAGGCCCTGCCTTACCTACCTGTCACTGTGTAGATCATGGTGATGCCCAGGAGGGCAATAACAGAAGCATAGATGTTCCAGCCCAGAGCCTGCTGAATGAACACAGCCCCAGAAAACAGGTCTACCTGGAGAGGGGAGGGGAGGGGAGGGTAGAAGAGAAAGTCAGGTCAATAGGAGAAACATGAGGATTTAGGCATCTTATCCTCCAGGGTCTAGGCTTCCTCTCTCCCATTCTGTTCCCCACAGGACACATGTCATATCCCTCATTCATTTCTCAATATCCCAGCCCACTGCCCTCCCATCCCACTCCCCACTTCTCTATGGTTGACTCCTACAGAGATTTTGGTGAAGATGTAGAGGAAGAGCGAGAGCACTGAAAGGTAGAGGCGGATTCGATGACCCCCAAAGCGCTTCCTCAGATACTGGGGCATAGTGATGACTCCAGCCGTCAGGTACACGGGTGCAAACAGCCAGCCCAGGAGCAGCACCACAAAGAGGGCCTGGGGATTGCAGGTACAGGGTTGTAAGTAGGGACCACCAGCTGGAGTGGGAAGGGCAGTGTCAGGGAAACGGGTCTGAGGAATGTAGAGCTGTCAGATTTGCTGCCTGAGCCAAATTGAAATGTAATTGGAAAATGTTTAAAAGAATAAATACAAATATAACACAATATAGA